TATATATATATATCTTTACAAATATTTTTTAAATATATTTTATAAAAATATTTTTTTTCCTTCCTATGGTGCTTTTTATCGCTATCAGGAATTTAAGCGATTTTTTTCCAAAATTTGATGGAAATTTAATTGTTATTTTACCGTATATCTGTTTAAATATTTGCATACTCTCTTCGCATGTAAGGTTAAAATATATAGTAAGGTTAAAGTGGATTTTTACATGATCCGTGTATGTCAGGCAGAAAAAAAAAATCGAGCCCAATTTACTATTCTTTGTTTTGAATACCAAACAATTATTTTTCAAATAGTTGCTTTTTTTAAATTTTTAGTAACTACTTTTTAAAGACATATTTGTTTTTGAATTTTAAATTACCCTTATACCATATTTAATGAATTCTTTTTATCTGTAATCGAAAATAACTTGATATATAATAGTTGATTAAAAAAAAGCATAAATTGATATACAATACAAACAATAAGACTTACCTTTTCACTCGCTTATACAAATATAAAAAATAAAAAAACAATTTGCTTTTTATTTCAGAAAATAAATTTATATTTTATTTGTTCATTAGTAAATTTTACTAGCAACTTTCAACATTCTTTTTTAAAATATAGTTTTCGTGTTACTCTTGAAAGCAATTTTGAAGGAAGATAATTATTGCGACGTTTTCCTTATAATCAGTAAAAATATTCGAATATGCACAGCGTAGCGAAAAGATGTCACATGGGAGTTCACGTGGTTACTTCATAGAGACGTAAAAAAATTTTTTAAATGCTTCAACTAAATTCAGAATTACGAATCATTTTGAGTTCTTGGAACATCCTTGAACACAGTTTGATATTTTATTTAAAATAGATACGACTGTCTGGAGATAAAATTGCGATAAAATATTTTACTCTGATATTTTTTGTTGTTTTGTAATTTTAAATATTAAATTTTTTTTTGGGGGGGGGGAATGAGTCAAAATTTAAATGGATAAAATATTTTGGTATCGTAATTGTTAGATATATGTGCTATCTGTATGCAAAATGCTTTAAGCACAAATGCTTTTTTACACAAATTGAAGCTTTGTATCATTCAAATTTGAGATAACTTAAGCACAGTGACTAGAAGAACAATGATATCGAGGACGTTGGGCCTGCTCAAACTCGATTGTACCTTCAATTAGAATGATAGCATGTTACAATTTAACTCTTATTTTTTTGCAAATTTGCACGACATTACCGTTCAAGATACAACATTACCGTACCATACGACATTACCGTTTATTTTTTCAGCCTTTACCTTAATTTGAACATACCTAATTCACACCAGTTTTCAGATTAACCGCAATACTTTTATTCCAAATTAGATGGTGGCAAATAAAATAAGACATTTAGTTTCCCCGATAAACATTTATTTATCTAATATATATTTATACATAATTAAAAAGTTCAGCTATCACTTTTTCTTCTTATCCTGATTATGGCTGCTCTTAAAATGTTACTTCCCTAGTTCATTTACATTTATTTATTATCTCTTTAACTGGCCGGGATAACCTGGTCGGTACTTCGCTGGGCCCATGTCCGAGAGTTCGTGGGTTCGAATCCTGCCGGGCAAAGACTCCCTGTGTAGTAAAGTGACTGATGCACGTTACATCTGTCAAGCCGCAAAAGTCCTCCATGTTCCCATCACAAATCAATACCTCTGGGGGTACTGGATTGGAGATCGATCGTTCTCTGATTCAGGTGAAAAATACGATCTGTGGATGAATGAATGGATGTATAAATGGGTCCGCTCTGTATACGGGTGTGACATATGGTGTGGCAGAAATCGAATTCCTGGGCATAGATGGCACCCCCTATGCCTAAAACAGGCATGCGTCAACAACATCTCTTTAACTAATCAATCGTAACTACCACTGTGAATAACATTTTAAACTATTTATATAAAAATCAGAAGCAATTATTATGTTGATTTTGTTTCAATTGCGTATTAAAAAAATATGCAATAAAAATTTGCACAGTTTAAATTCTTTTAATAAAAATTTGTTTTTTATAAGTGACCTAAGAAAAAAATATTTTAACTTATTCACTTTTCAAAAAATTATGAACTTTCTGGAATTCTTTATTAAACAATCCGGTGGAACGAAATAGAAAGAACCATCTTTATTTTTCACTTCTCTCAATTATAGAAAATTTAAACCTTATTTTTAATTAATTTATTTTTACTTATTTACTTTTTTATTCTCGATAATACCTACTGCGCTGTTAAAAAAGTTTGGACTGCATAGGAAATTAATATCATTTCATTCAGCTGCTTCATTGAGGAAAAATTTAAGTCATTTTTTTCAAATTTGATTACACGAAGTTATGTTTCAACTTGAACGAAATCATGCTTCTATTTAATATTGTATTAAGGTAGAAGTTAATTTGTACCGTATTGATTTTGTTATTTGTTAAATTTGCACCAGTTTAATATGTATAATTGATAATTGTACCGATACTTTTGTTTAATATTATATCGAATTTTGTTATGCTTTACGAAAACTCTGCAATACAGTAAAAGTATACAATACAGTACAAGTACAGATCTTAGTATACAATCTTATTAAAAATAAGTCAAAGTGTTTTGATGTGGTATGATGAAAGTTTAAAGAGTCAAGCTTGTTTGACTGATGATTTGTTTGGTAAAACTTTTATTTTTTCATGAAAAATTTATTAACTTTGTAAATTTTTAGATCTATATAATGCATATTTCAGAGCGTTAATCTTTACAGACAGATTAAATAGAGACATTTTATTTGGCGATTGCTTTGCAAAACTCTTGTTGCTTCTCAAAAGATTTATTAGAATCAATACAATTAATAAGCTAATTTAACCAAAACTTTGAAATTGGAACTTTACAGACAGATGAAACAGAGAATGACATTTTTGTTAGTTACCAAAAAACTTATTTGTATTTTCTTGAGATATTTACAAAAACAATTTATTGAGGAATTAAGGACACTTACTTTTTTTTTATAGAAAGAAAAAAAATGGTAGAATGAATGTTTTATAATCAGTATTAATTTTTCCAAAGTATGATAGTTCGGTCAACCTTTATTTATATAGATAATATCAGCATACCTGCCAACTTTTACGCATTTGGCGTAAAATTTTATTTTCATATTTAAAGTGGTAGTAAATATATGCTATTTTTTCATTTATAAACTTAATTTTTAAATGATTTTGATTACCNATATGCGCTATCATTGTTGTAATAATACCAGTCGCCCTAGGGCAAAAATTTCAGATGAAGTGGTCAAGTGCCCGCTAACGCGGGCTGGCACCTCACCAAACCCAGATCGTCGTCATGGTTGTAAGCTTAAGCTTTTTCAAATACAACATATTGTTTTGCTTAAAATTGAAATTTTAATTCCATTTTAATACCACTGAGAAAAATCATAATGGAAGGGATTAAAAGTTGGCAGGTATGTATCAGGAATGCTACGGAGAACTAAAAATGGAAAAAGCGGTGACTAATATAAATATTGTTTTTGCATCAGTTATCAATAATTTGGAGTGTGAGTCATAGTGGTAGATATAAATAAGCAAAAATGAATTTAGTTTCTACCACTTTTTACATAAATAGTCGTTTGTGGCATGACTATTTAGTTTTGGATTTGAATTTACAGTATCGTACTTATTTGATGATAAAGTGGTAGGTAACAGAAGGAAATATCCACTTGGAATATAACAAATGTGTCCTAACACTTATCGGGTATAGGTGTTTTTCTCATAAAGACTACTCTTTAATTGCAGATTTTTTTTTCTCAAAATGCAAACATATTGTGGTAGTATTACTTAAAATAGGAAAACTTGATATTTAAACTTCTTAAAATTAATCAATATCCTACTAGTTTCGACAACGTTTTTCTAAATTTTTGAGCTTAGTGAACGTTATAAGCAACTTGATAATTTAGAACCAAATTAGCTCTCGCGTCTGCAATAATGTTGGGTAAATTTTGCCAACATCAAATGTTAGCCTTTCTACGATATTGTGTTCAATCTTCGTTGTTGTAATTGAAATTGGATTATGGGATAGTATAGAACCACCAAATCTATAAGTCTATTCTATTTTTTTTCATTACTCATATTATTTTTATTATTTGCTGATTAATTTCTGCATTTATTATTTTGTAATTAATTTAAGATTTAAATTATCATGGTATGATCTAGTTAGAGTTCTATGCTTTCTTACATAATTATTGTCCTTTTTCACATATTTAATAATTTCATCTCCCACCTTAATTTCTCTTATTATAATTATTCTTGTCGCATAATCATTCTTGTGAAAAGCCTCGAAAGCTCACTGTAATTCAGTGACCCTTTCTTATTATCATCTATCTATAAATATTCCGATTAATAGTTGCATGATAAACTTCTATAGGGCTGTGAAGAAATATTGCAATTGCCTATAGAACATTTAATCAAAGGCAAACCATAATTTCATGGCAAAAATTTTATACATAAAAAATATCATAGTATATCCCAATGTGGTTTTACCTAAGACAAAATTTTAACATATACTTTTCCCATGTACACATTGAAAATATTTATCATACGCGTAAAGTAAAAATTAGCAATACGCATATGGCAAAATTTCGCCATACATTTATGGCAAAATTTTACCATATGCAATACCCATAGGAATATCCTGTGGTATTTTTTATGACGAACCTATGGCAAATTTTCGTAAGGGGTATTACTCTGTGAGGAAATTGGCCTGCTATATTTTTTTTTGCAATTTGACACTTTGAAAAAAGAACTATTTGAGCATTTGAAACTTTATTTACTTTTTTTAAGACCAGGAATTCTACATGCGACTAACAATGTAAAAAGTGGTACAAGCTAAATTCATTTTTTTAATATATCTTTAATTATTTAACCGTAACTTTCATCTTTATGGTGAGACTTTTAAAGAGTTGACAAGAATACCTTTACTCTGGGTGTTTTATTGTTAAATTTGCTACCATTTTTTTAAACTTTAGTAGAAAGCGGGGCAGTTGACAACCCTGTGGTAGCAAAATTTTCATTTTATTTAGCTTACTCTTCGAAGCATTAACGATGTGCAGTAGATCTTCAATCTGTATGTTTAAAATAATTAAATGTAACGGTAGTCAAAATAATTTTAAACAGAATTTATAAAAACAAGAATAATAAAACAAGTATAAATGTTGCTACCAGATTTAATGTAAAAATAAAATCGTCCGAAAAATCTGGAAATGTTGGCTTGTTTGGATCTAGTTAGTGAACTGCTAAGCCTAAATATCCAGTTGCAAGAAAGCTTTAACTTTTTTTACTTTATTTAGAAAGTTTGGGCTACTGTCGTAGTTTTGAATTGCTGCTTAAATTTGCAATTTGACTAAATCCTCAAAATACGATTCCACTCTGGCTAGCAATGAGAAAGTTCTCAAACAAATTTTGCAAACAGGTATTACAAATTATGCTGATAATAGAGATAATAATTAATAACAACAAATATGAACCCGAGATTAATCGGTATAATTAATAAAGCGGATAAACAATCTGTCTAATGTTTAGATAATCTGTATAAACAAGAAAGTAAGAAGATTTCAAATATTTTCAAAAACGTTGTGATTCTATTTTTAAAAAAATCTAGGAAATTGAATTAGAAATAAAATAGGATTGCAATTTTGCTGTTTAAGAAGACAGCTCTGGAAATCAATACGATTTGGCAAAATATTGCAAATAAATTTGCTGAGTTTTATAGTTCAAGGTTATATCATAATGATAAGGAAGATTTAAATATCACGTTGTTACAATGTGTACCGAAAACTCAATTGATAAGTTGCTTCTGAATTTGCATTTTTTGTTTGTGACGTCTAACTAAATAAATATTGTTATGCCTCATTATTTTTATGCTTTTTTTAAAAAAATTTCCATTATTCGCTATGTTTAAAAGGCAGAGAGTGAAACAAAAAATAGTTTTGAAGCTGATAAATTTTGCCGTAAGTAATATTTATTATTTAATTATAACCATTATTTTTTGTTGTATTTGTGTTCCAAAAGAAAAACACAACCTTGCCGTTAAAAAGCTTTGGAACTCCAATCGATAAATTATAAATTTTTATTAATTCAATGTAAAGTTTGTTTCGGCACTATGCTGTGTAGTTAGGATGTTAAGGAACTCTATGTGCTTGCAAGAGGAACCTGGTTCAGTTTTAAAGTAGGTATATTAAAGAATAAATGTAATGCACATATTTATAAAAATTAAGAATTACACTTTTGACATTTTTGTTAGTTTTGTGGTAAAATTTAAGCACGAAGAATGAATTTAGTAAAACCCATTTTATTATTTATTTGCTGTTAGCCTCATGAAAATAGCAATTGCTAGTCAATTAAGGGATTGGTGTTCCGGCCGTTAGTTAAGGCATTGTTCACACAGTTGGTGAAGAGCTGGAGCTGTGAGCTGGAGTAGGTTAAATCTGTCTTGGCTGAATGTCCTCTCGTTGGAGAGGTGCCAGCTCAGGCGTTGTCCATGTCATCTGGCCGAGGTCAAAATTACTAGACTTCCCTAACATAGAACCCTGAAAAACGGGGCTGAGTGATTGGCTATGGTTGGGTGATTTGAACCAAGGAATTTCTCTAAAAAACAACTTTTTCTAAAATTTAAGATTTATAAGGAATACAATTTTCTTCTATATTATCTTTTCCAAATGAGATGTCCCAGATTCAAATCACTGCTGTAGCTGGCTGGACCGAATTCTATTCCTTTCTTGCATCGGCTACAGTACCAACGTAAAATATCCTCAGTGGTAGACAAATCACGTCTTAGAATCTTATTGAACTTCGGAAAACCGATGGAGGTCTTCGTGGTTTTCCTCTGTAATGCAAATGCAGGTTAGTTCCATCAAAATGTTTTTCACGAAGGCCAGTTTGCGAGAATGCTTTATCCTGGATTTTCCTTGTCTTCAGGGATTGGTTCAATATTGCAAAGCTTTAGAATTAAACATTGATAGTCGTAAACTCAGAGTTGGGACGATTGTTTAACGAGGTTAGAAAATGAAATTATTTTTTAATTTTTTATACAAATGATCAATTTTGTAAATAAAACTTGTACCGATATTGCTAATATTCCGGTAATAAATTAAAAGATGAATTACAGATTTCTTTTCTTTTCTTAAAATACAATTCTTTTAGTGTCATTTTTTTAAATCATTCCTTAGTCAAAAGGGACGAAAATGTACATTTTTGTATTGATGTGGAAGGTATTTTAGGGAAAGAAAAAAGTGGTATAACACACATAGATAGGTCCCTCTAATATTAATATAAATATGATGACAACGAATTTACTGTGTATTTGGGCAAAGTTTTAATTCTCTGCCGAAAAAGCATTTTTTTGTGTTTATTTAACGTCAATATTTAGTTGCGGAATTCCAATTTATTCGAAAGGTTTTGCGAACTTAAACGATTTTTCATGATTATCTTTTTTTTAGTTTTTTCTTGCTTTTAATCTTGATTATTTATTTTTTATTGAAAAAAACTTATTTTTCTCAAGCGAGATCTTTCTCGCTTGGTTACATATATATATATAATACCCATAGGAATATCCTGTGGTATTTTTTATGACGAACCTATGGCAAATTTTCGTAAGGGGTATTACTCTGTGAGGAAATTGGCCTGCTATATTTTTTTTTGCAATTTGACACTTTNATAGGAACCGTTTCTCAATAGCAATGTTATAATTCTCGGTATCAAATAAAATTACTTCAAATTTATTTATTCTTATTGATTCACACAATCTGCATTCCTTAAGTTAAATTTTTTTCCAAACACAGATGTTTTTATGTACATTTAAATTTAAAATTAAAACTATTACTTGTTACAGTTAGTTTAAAAAGTTATACATTTATTTAGTTTAAAAATAGTTTAAAAATACCCAAAAAAAGAATTTTTACTTTAGTTTTTAAATTTAACATTAAGTTTCTCTTTAAAATGAAAAGCTCCTTAATTAAGGCAACACTTTACAGTCAACGTCACACTTTGTTTTCTTGGCGAATTATTTAACGTAAAAACTGTAGAATTTAATGATTTATATCTTATTAATTGCATTTTTTTTCAACAAAATAAATATTAAATGTTATTTTCTAAGTTTTAAATCTATCTGTTAATAATCTATTCAGCCTATTTGGCCAGTTACATTTCGGTAAGCTTCCTCGTCACGCTAAAAGCAATTAAAATTTGTTTTGACCTTCAATTTTCATAAGCTTCTCTGACGACGATAACATTGATCTCACTACATTGTAATAATAATTTATCTTTCTTTTTTTTAAAATTTACATACAAAAGTTTCCCTTTAGACGTAGAAATGAAATGCCGAATCTTTTAAAACTCACTTAAAATATTGGAATTTGGTCATCGTAACAAGTAAATTCATAATTGTTGTGTTTAGAAGCATATGATGCAAGCTTTTTTATTTCAAGTAAAAGCCGATAAAAAGAAATTATTAACCCTTTAATGGGCCTTTATTTCTAGTAAAGGTAAATTAAAGTATTTCTGGAATTGAAATTGTTTTAAGAACAGTAATTGATATTAAAAAAAACAACTCATTTAGTTTATAAAAATGCCATTTTTTTGGTGATAAATATATTTAACATGATCTATTAGGAACTTACTGACTTTTATTTTTCTTTATTTATAAAATAAATTCCTTAAATGCTACAAACTTCTAAGGGAATTATGTATTTTATAACTTTTATGCGTTTTTTAAAAGTGACAAATGGTTATCAATTTTATTCAAACTCACTTCAAGGAAGCTGAAGTTATTAAAAAAACGGAAACCTAAATTAAAAGTGGTAAAACGTGGTGGTAAGTATACTTACCACGGCCTTCAAAAGGATTAAATTCCGTATTATAATATTGACGCCACTTTTTACATTTTTCAAGGACAGTGCAAACACCGTTATATATCTTTTTGCTACAATAGAAAACAACATCAAAGTGGTTTGAAATTCCAATATTTTCACTTAATTAGAAAATATTTTCCTGTTTCGGTGGATTTTTATCTCAAGTGGTAGCTTGTTTTATTGGTTTTACATACAAGGGGTGATCAAATGAAAAGGTACGAAACGACACGGTGGGTACAAATGTAGACTTTATTCAAAATATACACCATAGGCCGGTGCACAGCGATCCCACTGATGAACATGCCGCAGGATTCCTTGTTCCCAGAATTCATGTGGTCTTGACGAGACCCAGTCCTTCACAGCGTCCTTGAGTATGTCGTCCGAGTTGAAGAGCTTCCCTTTCAGGTGGACCAAACACATGGAAATCACTGGGCGACTAGTCCGGATTGTAGGGCGGATGGTCCAACGTCTCCCACCTGAACTTGGCCAGTTCCATGTGTGTGAGTCTGGAGACGTGTGGACGCGCTTTATCATGGAGCAGAACCACACCCTCCGTGAGCAGCCCCGGTCTTTTGTTCTTGATGGACCTGCATAGGCGTCAGAGTGTCTCACAGTACACATCGGAGTTAATGGTTTTTCTGTGCTCAAGGAAATCGGATAACACCTCGCTGCTCCTCAATCGTCGAATTTTGCAGCGCGAACGCCATCCAGTCCTCATACGGACTGCCGCATCATTTGGAAGCCGCTTTTGATAAGAGCCTCTGCTCTCTCCTGCTCATGCGGGCACCAGCGCATGCTCTGATCCCAGTTAGAGACTCCAATCGCATCCCGAGATGTCTCGCTACGTTCTCCCATAGCGGAATATGCAAATATTTAACTGTTACGTTTTTACGTCGTTTCGTACCTTTTCATTTGATCACCCCTTGTACATAACATGCAGGCTTGTGAGCTCAATTAAGACTTATGATATTTTGCCAAGTAGAACATATTCAGAAAAACAGCATGCAGATACATCCAGGTTTACGATGGGATACGACCCCGCTGCCTCCACGTTACCGACTGTTTGGCGATCAACACACGGACAGGCAGTTTTTTACCTTACTCGGGTGTGAGGATTTCGCATCAGGAATTAGTTTTGTTTTTAAAGCTACTGATTATTTCAAACTATTTAACAATCACAGTGTTGACGTAAATTATCCACAGTGGTAGAGGGGTTATGGGTTAGAACCTCCATGCCGTCGGGTTCACAGTGGGATTTATTTTGTGTTTTTTCTTTCCATGTAACTCAAATGCGGGTTAGTTCCATCAAAAAGTCATCCACGAAGGCTAGTTTATCATAATGTTGATCCAGCTGGGTTGGGTTCAAAAATTATCAGGGTACGAAGTTGAACATTGATAGCTGTAAATTCAGAATGGGCTCGGCTGCTCAACGATTATAAAACTAAATTATCTTTTTAGCTTAGTTTATTTCTTTGTCTGAATTTGTATGTTTATACTGAACATAATTTTATATGCGTATATACTTGTCTACTCCTTTAAAAATAACACATAAAAAACCTATGACACATAAAAAAAGACATAAGAAAAACTTAATTACTTAATTAATAAAATTCGCTGTTTAAAAACACTTAAATTATCAGAATGGAAGGAGTGAGATTTTTCTAAGAGAAAAGCATATCTCATAATTAAAATTCATGTTTTATATAATATGAAATATAGAAAAAAAACTAAATTCAAGAGATTGAAAGAAATTATATCTTTTCTAGAGATGCCAACTGCTCCAGACGCGCCTAAATAATTTTAAAAAACGGTATATAATTTCAAAGTAAATTTACAAATATTTGATTAATTTTGCTTACTTTTTAAAAGCTTTAGCATGTTTTAACTAAAACAAAGATGCGAATTATATAAGTCTTCGAATTATTTAGAAATAGTGGTGGGTAAAAACCCAATAAATTGCATTTATTAAACGAAGAATCACAATTAATAAACTACCACTCGAAAATATTTATTCGCTGTTCGGAGCACGTAGGCATCTCTGCTTTTTTTGTTTTATGTGAATTAATTGAAGAACTTAAAGGAATAACTTAGTTCGTTCAATTTAAAGAAATCAGTTCAGTTAGATATACGAGGAAGCTATAGAAAAAACTTATTTCTGTAAACAATAAGTCTTACTTTAAGACTTATCAGAATATGAGGAGGGAGATTTCTTGAACAGAAAGGCATATTTAATAAACAAAATGCATGTTTCATATAATTTTAAACATAGTAAGAAATTCAACGCAAAAAGTTGAAAGAAATAAAAAATTGCAACTATCAATCTATGTTTACAAGCTGTCATACAGAATCAAAAGAGCTCCAATATTTATTTATTTTTTCAAACGTTAATATTTATTTCAACTTCGTAATTTTTTTAAAAAACTAAACTGTATATTTGAGTTTATTTCAACAAGTTAAAGACTGAGTAGCTTAAAAGAGAGAGAAAAAACTTCACGAACTTAAATAATCATACGTAAAAAAATATCCCAGCTTTTATTTATTAATTGCCGTACACAGAAAACCAAAAAATGCATTCATATTTATTCCATACAGATAAAATATTACACATATTTGCATATGTTCAATATTAGATATAAGGTCATTTGTTTGCTCTTTCTCTTAAAGTGTAATTTTCAAAGGAACAGATGAGTGTAACATATATATATACATGTATAAACCTATACGTTCTGTATAAAATTGTACATTCAGACATAAAAAATATTATGAAAATAATCTGTAGATTTCCGAACAAAACTAATTTCAGATTTGAAATAACCGCACCCGAATTAGGCATAGGTTCAGCAAAAAAAAATTTCCATTGTAATTTTTATTATTTTAATACCAAATAAAACGAATTATTTTGTGATTATCATCATTTTACGATTATTAGTTAATATATACAAATATTGTATTATGTATTTTAAATTATTTAGGGCTCACATATTAGTTCAAACAGCATTTTACTGTACTGGAACTAGAAAAGGGCTCAAGAATTTAAGTATTTCTTTTTTTTTAAATTTTACAAACTACAAGTTTATTAAGTAACTAATTAATATTTTTGTAATATTTTTGTTTCATTGCATTCCATTGAATCTAATTACTAACGTAAAATCCACAAAATTTTTTGGCTTATAAAACAAAATACGAGGTGCATCCAGAAAGTAAGTTTACCCAATTTTTTTAAAAAAAGAACTCACACTTTCAGAATCATATTTAATTCCAAACAAGTAAACCAATGTTTCAGCTATTTTTCAACATAGCCGCCACCAGAATTGATACACTTCTCGTATCGTGGGATCAACTTTTGTATCACTCTGTCGTAGAACTCTGCCGCCTGTGAATGGAACCAGCATGTGACAGACGTCTACGGTTACTGTGAAACACTGCGGAGATTGTGACGAACCATTCAAAAGAAGAGTCGTGGAATGCTTACTGCAGTTGTTGCGCTCCTCCATGACAATGCTTGTCCACATACGGTACGATGCACGGCAACTGTTTTGACGGAATTTAGCTGGGAGTTGTTTGATCATCCACCCTACAGCCCTGATATTGCTCACGTCGATTTTCACGTTTTCTTGCATCTCAAGAAGTCCCTGTCCTCCGGTGAGCGTTTTGGCAACGACGAAGAGCTGAAGACGTCTGTCACACGCTGGTTCCATTCACAGGCTGCAGAGTTCTATGACAGAGGGATACAAAAGTTTATCCCACGATACGACAAGCGTCTGAATTCTGATGGTGGCTATGTTGAAAAATAGCTGAAACATTGCTGTACTTGTTGCCAATAAATATGTTCCTGAAAGTGTGAGTTCTTTTTTAAAAAAATTTCGGGAAACTTACTTTCTGGATGCTCTTCGTATACGGATCTCTCAGTTCAGGTTGAATTGCTTTTTTTTTCTCATTTTACATAATGCAAATAAATCTGAATTTAAAATAAGTAATTCTAGTTTTTTCATCCGAACCGGGAATACAATATGAATTATTAACTTATTACTGCATTATAGTTATTTTAGAAATTCAATATATTGATCATATTTTCTTAGGTAATTTCTGAATTTTTAAACCTGTGGAAATGGATGACAGCTATGACATTCAGATGGAAGCTAAGTCATTCTTGCCTTACCGAATGGGATATCTGACGGAATGGATGATTGAAAAAGCAAAAGAGGAACTGAATGAGACAGATGAAAATCGTATTCAGGCTATCGCAGAATTAAAACGATTGATTGCAAGTGAGATATACTAAAATAAATAATTGCATGAATTTGTATTTTCTTGTAGGGCCAGGATAGCCTGGTCGGTAGGGAGCTGGGTCCTGGTCCGAGAGTTCATGGGTTCGAACCCCGCCGGCCGAAGACTCCCCGTGCAATAAAGTGAATGATGCACGTTAAATTTGTCGAGTCGCAAAAGTCCTCCATGCTCAAATAACAAATCAATACCTCTGGGGGTACTGGATTGGAGATCAATCGTTCTCTGATTCAGGTCAAAATTACGATCTGTGGATGAATGAATGGGTCCGCCCTTAAACGGGTATGTCAAACGGTGTGGCAGAAGTCGAATTCTCGGCCATAGATGGCGCCACTGAAAAAACAAGAGCAATCGCACCCCCTCTGCCTAAAGCTGGCATATGTCAACAACAACAATAACATTTTCTTGTAAATTAATACAAGTCAAATTTATTTTAAACTTTTTGAAACTTTTTAAACATTAAAAAGGAAATATTATCGAGAACCATCTGCGTTTACTGAAAAGATTTGTTTCACAGATATTATGTAGTCCGGGAGACAAAATTTATAAAGTGACTGTACATACCTTATCCAACATATAAGTTTGTATAATATAGTGTAATATAAATTTAGATATTACGAAGGCTTCAGTTTCCAGAACATATGTATTTTTGGACTGTTCCTTTTTTTTAAGGCAATTGGTGAGATTTTTTTTAAACTTTTTAGACAGTTATTTTTAGTTTCTTGGGGGGGAGCTTTTTTTTGTTTTAGGTTTTTGTTATAAGGATTTAGAGTATATTTTACGCTTTGGGTTTTTTCGGTATTGAAAAAATGTTTCATGTAAAATTATTATCCGTGTTAAATTGTCCTAAATTGTAATTTTGAATCGATATTAATTAAAAAAATGAGTTTAGATACCAATACATATTATCGTTTTCCCGGTGTCTTTACTCGAACCTTTTAAGTCTTTAAATTTTTTTGTATAAAAGACTGACTGTTATTTTTTTTTTAAATCTCTAAGGTCAGAACCTAGACAGTGACTTTACTTAGAACAGAAGACAGTTATCCCTTCCTCCATAGTTTTAGAATTTGTTTGTTATAAATAATTCTTTTAGTCAATATATATATATATATATATATATATATATATATCATGTTAAAATCTTTTAGAATTGATGACATTTTTAACAATACAAAATTCGGATTTATAAAAATAAAGAGAGGAATTTAATAACTTCTTTCTAGATTTGATACTAACAATTTTGAAATCATATCAAAGGATTGCAATATTTATTTGTTATTAACTATAGTTGTCGTCACAAATTAATTTTTAAAATCAAAATCTTTATACATTTCTTATTAAAATCTTTATAGATATGTATTAAGATATGATTATTAACTAAAAATGTATTTTGGTGTTAACAATAGCTAAAATGTTAATCTTGATATTCGATATTTTATGTCAACCATTTTAAATTCTTATTTTAGGAAAATTGAAATTTTAAGTTTTTAGTAAGTCATTACTTAAATCAAAATTTTAAACTTTTCAAATTAAAATGTCTCTAGAGATGTATTGAGATATAATTATCAGCTAAAAATATATTCAAAAGTTGACAATAAAGAAAATTTTAGCATTGCTTATCTATTATCTATAACAACCATTTCAAAACTTTGTTGAATGAAAATAAGGATTTGAAGTTCATAGCAATCCATTTCTCAAATACAGTTCTTTTTTTATTTTGACTTGTAACGCGACATGTTTCGTAAATGATTAATAAAATTTTCATGCATAATATAACATCTTCATTTTAGGTGCCATAGAGATTTGAGTTCAAAAATCTAAGTTCACCAGAAAGGTCAGAAGAAGTTCAAGTGATTCATCAACTTCAGAGAATGGAGAGATCATGGAGTCCCAAAATTTGTCTTTATGTCTGGAATATGGATAATTCTAAAATAAAGAAATCATGTATACTGCGTAACTATCATTTCCAATTTCCGCAACTCGCTATTTTTCGCAATACACTGGCGATCAAAATTAAGAGATTTTTTGTATCTCGTCGATAATTCCAGAAATATCGAACCGATATAAAGGACATTCAATATAAAGTGAGGTAGATGAAAAGGACAAACAAAATAACCATTCAACAGTTACAATGCATGTGCCTGAACACGCGTTATATCCATTGAAGTCGCATGGTATGAAACAAGGATTACAATATCAAACAAAGGACTGGTTTAATAACAAACAGAAGTATCGGACTGATATAAAGGACATTCAATATAAAGTAAGGTAGATGAAAAGGACAAACAAAAACCATTCAACAGTTACAATGCTTGTGCCCGTACGCGCGTTACTCCCATTGAAGTCGCATGGTATGAAACAAGGATTAGAATATCAAGCAAAGGAGTGGTTTAATAAGGGGTTTGGAATCTACAAACTTTAAAAAATTTAGTTCGTTTTTTTTTCTCTTATAACCGTCGTTGAACAGCAGACCCAATTTTTTTGGTTTACGACTAATGTTCCCCTCTGTAGATTTGTGATTTTGAACCCAATCCTGAAGACAAGGGAACTCCTGGATCAAATATTGAGAGATATTTACCTTCGTTGAGGACTTGTTGATGGAACTAACCCGCATTTGCGATACATGGCGAGGAAAACCTCCCATGGTTAGACTGATGGCAAGGAGATTCTAACCCATGATCCGCTTATCACTGAGGATATTTTATGCCAGCACTGTTGTTGGTACGAACCGGGGGCTAAAATCGTATCGACTGGGGTTCGAACCCGGTTCACTTCATTAGAACGTGAACGCTTTATTCCCTAAGATACCACGGCCCTGATACAAAGGTTTAGAAAAAATTACGGAAACACTTCTATACTAACTCTAGGTAAATAATATTTCTTTCAAATGTTTTGGAAGATTTTTCATGGCAAAACTGTTGAAACAATTCGAAAGATCAGGCTTGAAGCTTTTAGAGATGATACTTTTTGCCCATTCAAAATTTAGTTAGACCAAAAAAGTTAAAGACCAATTTGGTATTTTCTACTGTTGGCTACGACTCTGGTTTTAAATATCACAGCTGTTTAATTTCGGATCAAATTATGAATATTTATCGTAATAATATATGAGAAACACAAATGTCTTTTTTCTCCATAATAAATTTTAATAACGAAATAATTGAGCTACCATCCTTTCCTATCTTAAAAAAAAGGGAAGAAAGTTATTTGCAATTAACCCATTTACGACAGTCTGTCTCTTTCATGAATTATAGACAGAAACTGGTAATTCGACTATACCTTCTTTTAATTTTATTTCGGTGAAACAAAGGCATTTCTGTTCACTGAAATATAATAGTTATGTAATTAAATATATTCTAATATGATTTTACCGGTATGTCTGATCCTCATTTGAAAAATTAAAAAGCGATTGACAATTTCAATGTAAGAAGTTAAATTTAAATTAAAAGTAAATAGTACTTAACTTTCATCTTTCAGTTTAATTTAAAAACAGCACCGTGATCATTTTTAGAACTAAATGTTATTGCTTATATTGTTAACATAACGATGTAGTCGTTTTATATAAAATTAAGCGAAAATCGTAACTCTCATATTAATATTTTAATAGGAGACTTTGACCCTTGCATTACACCCATGTATTTTATTAAAACTAAAACGGTAGTCACATTGGAGAAAAAAATTTAGCTCCAGCACTAGTTATTATCTGCCACTTTTTACAAAATGGTACATTTCACACCGCTACAAAGCGTTGCGCAAAAGCAACGTCATCGGGGATTTGGTTTAATCTAGAGCCCCTGAATTAGACAGGCCGACTTATCATTTATTGTTGGAGCAAAGAGCTAATATAGGCACAGCGAATAAATATTTTTAAGTGGTAGTTTATTAATTGTAATTCTTGGTTTAATAAGTTCGATTTAGTAGATTTTCATCCACCACTATTTCTAAACAATGCGTAGGCTTATATAATTCACCACTTTAAAGTATTTATTACATGCTTTACTTGTTAAAAAGCAAGCAAATATTGTCAACTATTTGCAAAATTTACTTTGTAGCTATTTACCGTTTTTTTAATTATTTTGCTGTATCCAGAGCAGTTGCCATCTGTATAATAACATAACTGATACTAACATAACGTTAACTTGCGAACTTGTTTGCTCCAATATTGCTTGATAAGTCAGCTTTGATAGTATAGGAGCCTTAGGTTTAATCTATAAAGGGACACTTTAAGTATTAGTAGGAAAGAATGCATCAAGATGTGAAGAAACATTACCTCCTACATCAGAAGTCTCCACACGGTTTTTAATAAGTAGTCTGCGCAGACTATTTAAAAAGTTAACCACTTGTGCGCATGAATCCTATAAAAGAACTCCACATATAACAGCTCTGAAGGTATTTGAATGCTTTATAAATCGGGTTTTTTATCGGCAAATTCATTAGTCTATAGAATAACTCTTAATCATGAGAAACCCAAGCAATTTTAAGTTAAGTTAAAAAAAAAACTGCTCCACCCTTTACACTCATCTAATTTACAAAAATATTTGCAGTCCACCTCGTAACCTTAAGTATCAATCGCTCGTGACCAATTAGATTCATTCGAAAGAGAGGGCGTGTAAACACATTTATCGAAAAATATTTTGGTCTAAGTAAAATAAAATAACAATATGATGTGTTTAAAGAAAACCCCGCTTTTGTTTTTTAAAGCTCGCGGTGAAGAAATTGATTCCCAAGGACAGAGGTTATCCATTTACATTAGTTGCCCGTTTCCCGGATTTTTGAATAAAAATTCAGTCGACGTGCAGCCCAACAACAAGTGACCCAACCTTCTGACATGGAAGGTGACAACCGACTCATAACCCACCCCCTCTATGACCTATGACCTGGTGTACAAGGTATCGTNTAATTCATGTTACTTTATATCTTGTTGATATTATAAATGTTATTATTATTATTATTATTATTATTATTAAATTGATTGGAGAATATTTATTATGATGAATCATTGTACGTCAAGAATTTTCACTTTTGATCTTCAGATTCCTCGAACAAATGACTTTCAATTTTTAATTACAAAATACCAACCATGTTACATTTCAGAGAAAAAAACAATAGATGTTCCGAATGATGACTTATACTTGTTGCAATTCTTACGAGCAAGAAAATTTCATCCAGTGAGAGCAATGGAGGTGATAAAGAATTTATATGCTTTATTTGAGGAATTTTCCGATATATATCCTAAAAATCTGGACCTTGAACAAGTAAAACATCTCATGGATACTGGTTCTGGCAGTGTTCTTCCTTATAGACTTAAGGACGGAGGTGCCATTTTCTTTTTGAAACCTGGTAGGCAATGCTTCTTTTTTACAAATATTTTGATCTTCAATTCAACTGATATAATAGTATAATAATAATAATAACCCTAGGGAACAAACGTTTTTGTTGTATTTATACAAATACTTGATTTTACTTAGTTCGGGTGTGGGGATCTTAAATCCGAAACAAGCCTTCTTCCGAAAGCTACTGATTTTTTCACGATGATATTTGTTTCTTTTACTTTTTCGTCTGAAAATACAAGTTTATAAAGAATATAAGCTTATAAACATGCATATACACTAGTCTGCTCCTTTGAAATCAACATTTAAGACAAAAACATATGACCTTAACTTAAAGCATCATAAACTGAAATGTATTATCGGCTCCTACTGCCGCACTCTACGTACCAGAGAAGTAGGAACGCTTGATTTTCATCTTGTGAATTTTAAAAGAATCCTGGTTCGGGCTATATTATTAAATTGGATACAATTTGTAGCTTGAAGAGAACAACCGATTGCAGACTTAAAATCAGCGATGAGAGGTACCTAAAGTCTGAAAACTAATCCGATGGGACGGAAAAAAATAGTACCCGTGTGTGTTATTAGTCACTCTCTAAATATTTGTTTCGCACTATTTAGAGAGTGATTCTCTAATAATATTTTTTCTAAATGATTTCTAACAATGATAAATTCTTTATATAACGTTTGTTGTAACTCAGAAATTTTATGCGCTCGTTGTTTTGAGGACTACATTAATTATATACTCACTAGTTTGTGTAATCATTAGTAAAGATAATAAAATAATCTTTCTCGTTTAAAGCATAACCCTTTTTGTTGTATTTATAGGAGAGCACAGAGGTAAGTGCTATTTTCTACTAAACTTTTAATTTCTTATGTGCTTTTTGGTCATGCATCATACTTGAGGATTATCAACTCATTTTTCCCAACGGTTATAAAACATGTTAATACAAAATTGATTTTACAATGAAATAATTGTTAACAAAAGCTACATTTCTCACGATTAGCTTTAAGCCGGCCAGTCTGAGTAGGGGTCAGGGAACTGACCTTGTATCAGAAAGGTTCTGGGTTCGAATCCCGGACAAGGCATGGATGTTCCCTCATCCTCTGCACTATCTGTCCTTACTGTGGGAGCAACGTTGGCCCACCTAATGTGGTGCCACTGAAATAGTACCCAACAAATCCGCCCTTATATGCCTGAATTGTCGAATGTCAACGCAGGTGGGCATTGGAAGGAAAAAAACTGATAGCTTTAAGAATAGCTTTATAAATTACACTGCTATTAAAGTACAGTTTGAATAAACAAAAGAAACTTATTTTAATTCTATCAAAAATTTAATTTAAAAAATTTAACTTAAAGAAAAATTTATAAATTTTCTCCTAAAAATTCCTTTTGAATGCTTCTTTGAAAAAGCGCGTTGAACAAGTACTTTTTAATTAATAATTGCGTAAAAATTGGTGATTTTATTAGTATTCCTTACTATATTTCATGGCGTTTTAGTTGATCCTCTCAATCTATTAATAAATCGAAAACGAGGAGTCATCTTTTACATCCTCCTTAAAATCTTGAATCTTAAAAACAGTAAAATTTATTTTTGAATAATGGACTTATGAGTTGTAATAGGAAATATTATTATGTAATGTAAGTGAAATGAGATCCTAGTCCTCGCAGCACAATCCAAATCGTAATTATGTTCAATGTAAGTTCAAAATGTTCAAAAAATTAATCAATCTTCTGGTATTGAAATATTGACTGTGCTTGAGTTTTTGAAACCGAAAAAAAACTTTCAAAATAGGAAATCCTGTTAGAAGTTGAATACTAATGTTCATGGATGCTGCCTAACATATAAGTAATAAAAGAATTACCGATCTTTTCTTGTTTTATTTTTGTGAACTAATTGAAGAGCTTAAAGGAAGAAATCAGTTTTTGAATATTAAGATATACGAGGAAGCTGTTTAAAAAACCTATTTCTGTTAACAATGAGTCTTATTTTAAGACTTATCAGAATATAAGGAGGGATATGAATGTAACAGAAAAGCATATCTAATAATTTAACTGCATGGTTTATATTACATCAAATATAGTAAGAAACTAAATTAAAAACGCTGAAAGAGATTATATATTTTCTTGTTTTATGTGAATTAATTGAAGAGCTTAGAGAAAGAACTTGGTTTAACATGAAGTAATCAATTCTCGAATGTTTAGATATGCGAGGAAAAAAATTGTTTAAAAAAATTGTTTCTGTTAACAATAAGTCTCATTTTAAGACTTATTAGATTATAAGGAGGGATATGTCTGTAACAGCAAAACATATCTAATTTAAATGCAAGATTTAGATAATATCAAATATAGTAAGAAACTAAATTAAAAACGTTGAAAGAGATTTGAAAACGTTTTTTGTTTGAAACGTTGAAAACGTTTTTTGTTTTATGAGAATTAATTGAAAAGTTTAATGGTAGAGAGAAGAATAACATGAAATAAATAGTTCTAGAATATTTGTTGCATGATAATGCCAGAACTCATTTTATAACTCACGCTCAAAATCAGATCAGAAGATCTTTTGGAGGAGAACAGATTGTCCAAACCCCGTACAATCCAGGGATGGCCCCTAATGATTTTTAATTTATTCATGTTTTCAACTGTCATTATGTTTCATAGAAGTCATTAATTATCTACCTATGGTATGTGAAAAGGTTGTAGTAGATGCACAGCATAACCTCATTTCTGCATGAGATTTTCTCATGCAGAAATTCATACTTTGCTCATATTCATACTTTATTTGTACACCTATCGGAAGTTGTAAATTATTTACCTTAGGCATTTCATTTCACACAATAAGATATTATTTGCCAACCTAAAGTGTTTTATTTTATACTTCATGGAGGTTGTTAATTAGCTACGTAAGGTGTTTGGCAAGGTCATAAAGCGTGCACTCCATAACCTCATTTTTACCTGATGTGTTTTATTTTTACACCTATTGTAGGTTATTATTCATCTACTTAAGTTGGACAATTATATCCTAAGGTGTTAAATTATTTTCTTAAGATAGAAAATTAGCACCTTCCAATAAGTATAAAAGTAAAACACCTCAGATAGATATGAGGTAAAACTGTGTCTAATTCAAATATTAGCAAATATACTTCATTTCTACTTCAAAACCACCTATTTTTGGTTAGGTTTTGGCCTTCACTTCAAATGACGAGGATAAGAATGAATTCAAAACTGGCTATCCTTACAGATGACAGTCTTCCATGTATTATATATACAAAAGCTTGTAGAACATTTCGACAAATGTTTAAACAAATATAAAAACTGTTGAAAAATGAAGAGACATATTATGAATTAAATTTTAAAAAAAACTTTTGATGGTAAAATTGTAATCAAACCTTACTTTCTGAACATCCCTTATATTTTTAACAAATTTTTTAGCCCAGAAAAATTTTAACCTATCTATCATTAAGTGTGATCACCATTAATCCGTTAAAATCTAATTTTCAGATTACGCTTTACTAACTATTTTTTACGGCAGACAAATTCATTACCTTTTCAGTTAACTTGAATGAAAAAAAGATATCAAAATATTCAATTGCTTCCTTAATATTGTAAATTTATTTTATTAATTTCAGCCAATTGGGATCCTGATAAAATTTCATCCAAAATAGGAATCTCCGCAATAACAGGTATGTTGCTATCTATAGCAGTAGATCCAGCAACTCAGGTATGCGGAGTTCATTTTATTTATGATGCAACGCTTAATTGGAAGCATTTCAAAGTTACCACCCGAAGATATTTAGAATTATATTCAAAAATTTTAAGAGTAAGTAGTAACATGTATGTAGTTGTTGTGTATATTATAGAAACTACGTTTAAAAGGAAACCCATCGTCCAAATATTAAAAAATAAATCATTTTAAATTCTCAGGGCTCCAAAATATTTTAAGTAAGTAGAAAAATTTGGACTACGCAATGTGTTTCTTGTTTTATTAAACTCTTCATAAAATATTCCCGATTATCACAATAATCCTAAAATTGATGCAAAATAAATGTTCAAATGAGCACGTACAGTGATTCTATAATAATGACAAGCTTTTAGCGGCATACAGCCATGATTTCCAGTGCAATACTCAATCCTTATGATTTGCCCTGCTTCTCAGTAAATTTTGAGCCGCTGTACTGTATCAAAGTTAATGTAGTGGATGCATGACTTTCAATACTGAACTTCGTAGTCTATCTCAGAAGACAACTAACTAATCAAGTTTTTTAGAGTACCTATCCATGAATGGATATCTGCTCTTTCATCTAAATTGAAGAATATGTGGTGGAAGGGAAGGGAGGTGCTGCGTTAACATTAAGTTAAATCTCAGAATGAACAATAATTGATAAAATCAAGTCTGGGTCATACTTAAAAATAAATCGCAAGTTGATACATAATAAAGGGAACAAATTGAAGATACAGATAAGAAGAAAATATTTACACTATTTACAAAATCAGAAGACAAGCACGGCTGAAAGCCCTTATATAGCAAGACGGAAAAGATAAAAAACTGGTACGTAAGACATTTCATTCTAGCATTGTTTTCGAAAAAATAAAATATCTGTAACTATCAAGATTTCTTTTGTAATTTTAGCATATATATATAAAACTGCTTATTTACCATGATAAAGTAGATATTGTTGATAAGTTTAAAAAAAAGAATAAGTAAACTCTTCCCAAGAACTAGTTATAACTGAAAAGGTTTTACTACCAGCATTTCCTCTTTTCCGTCTTGCTTTCACCCCAGAAGACAAGTGAACTTCGGAATGAAGTATTAATGATTTTTTTTTAAATCAAGGTTAACCTGTAGTGCCCTTATTTAAAAAAGAAAAATTTAAACAGATTTCCCCTGCATTAGATTCCCATGGGTTAAATTTCTAACTATTTCTATGACCACCATTGATATTTTGAGCTACAATAATGGTCGGTGCAAGCTGTAAGTAGAACATGAAACCTTTAGGCACTTAACACTTTTCGGAACAGCAAATTTTGATTCAATGTTTAGTCAAGTGGGGCATTCGCTAGTGTAAACTTCGACAATACTTTCTCAGCGAAGCAAAATACTTTTGCAATCTTTGTTGTTTATAAAATAGTGTTAGCCTCAATTTAAACGCAATTAATTATTACAACTGTATATAAGATGAATCGAAATAATATTCGAAGTAATAATGTATGTATAGAAAGCAGTAGAAAGTTCAATCGAATTAATATGCAGAAAGAACATGAAGTATTGAAGAATCTAAATTTAATAAATAAATAATCTCTGAAGTCATCTTTGTCTGGTATTAAAAATATTCTTTCATCTACCCTCTTAAACTGGCTTGTTTTCTAAGTTGCACCGAGTTCAAAACTTTTATCTGTCTGTTAGACTCAGACGTTGGACACAGCTCCAAAGAGCAGGGAACATCGACTAGAGGTCTATTGTACCCAAACCCTAAATCATGATTAACAAGAAAGCTTTATAGCTAAAATAAAGTTCCGTAACCGTAAACACCTGATAGGAATGTTTTGCAGTTCCCGGAGATTTACGCAATGTTGCCCTAAATGCTCAAATCTTTGAGCAGAATAGACCTCATAATCACAAAGCAAATGTCGTAAAGTCTCCTCCTCAAGATGACAACCTCGACACAGAGCAGTGTTTCGCAAAGTGTGGTACGCGTACCCCCCAGGGGTAATGGAACTGTTTAGCTGGGGTACGCATTCTGATTCAAAATATTTTGCAACAAGCGAAAATTTAGAGGAAAAAAAATTGAAAAACAAAGCCATGAAAATTTGCGATTACGTATTTTTCTATTGGGTATATTTTGCACAGTTAACAACTAGTAATTAGAGGTGTCAACAGCCAGTTGTGATTTTTAACTTTTGTGCAATTTTTTACAGTAAAAAATGCATTCATTTCTTCATTAGTGGTACACAGCATTACGAAAAAAAGGCTACACAAAAATCATAAGTTTGGGAAACACTGACATAGAGGATCAGATACAACACCCATTATGTATAAGTTTCTCCTGAGGGTGTAGTGTCCAGTGAGAAGACCAATGATCTTCCTCAAACTGTCCCTGTTTAACTTAAGAAGCTAGGACAGTCGCGATTCAGCTCTTTAGCCTGCCTCTGACCATCCGAGTTGCGCCATTTTTCCCTGCGTGTCGGTCAATATTGTTTTGGAAAATTCCCCTAGAGCACTGGTAAAAACCTAATGAAAGTCCAGTTTTTAATGTTTCTTTCCTTTTTCTAATTGAAGAACGGTATTTGAAGCGTAATTCAGCTTCTCTGATATGGTGCTATTGTTAGCATAGTGCTTTTAACCGTCCCTTTAAGAAACTTCGATTGAATATTTTTATCAGACGGAATATTAGCGACTGCGAACTTAGACAGTGCATATTAAGTAAACCAACATATTTTAACACTTTACTGTTTAAAAAATAGTGGTTGGTAAACGTTTAAAAAGAATAAGTTTCGCATTTATAGTGGTTTGGATATTTTGTTGAATTACATGGGGTGGACTAAATAACGGAAACACTTCTATACTAATAAATTTGCTTTTTTAAATTATTTTTTAACTTCAGAAGTGTTTAGATCATGCGAATTCCCATACTTATCAATGAAGTTTAAAGGTTTAAGGAGCCAACAATAAGTTACGAATGAAAAATGATTTTTTTGAACACCGAATGCTAGAAAATGTAGCAATAAATTTGTAACTTGTAGCAATTATTTTTGTTATTGCATGCAAAAATTGCACAAAATTTCAAAAGCCTGGCTTAAATATTTATGGAAATATGATATGCACCTTTTCATCAAAAAAACTAACTTTTTTGTCTTACGTTTTTTTTTTTTCCATTACTGTTAAAATTTTCAATAAAATTACATTTTTACAGAAATTTAAAATGAGTTAAAAAATTAATGTTTTAAAATTTGAGAAAAATTCATTTAAAATTGTGCAAGATATGAATATTTAAAGTACTTCTTTTATATTGTGCATGAACGAGAAAAACTTGATTTTTTTCCTTAATATTGCCGAAAATCTTATTTGGCATCTACTAAAAAGAAGTCCGAATTGAATATCATCAAAATTTTAAAATTTTCAAGCACTTTTCTAAGTAGTTTTTTTTTTGTTGGTCCTTTTCAAAAGAAACTCAATATGATAAGGGGTTTTCCACAAATTTCATTCTGTACTATTAAATAAGATTTGTTTAAAAAGACAATGGCATTGTCGCTGTTATCCCCATTCAAGTATCTTTTCTTTCGCCTGTTCTCTTTCCTTATACAATAACATTTACGTGTATGAACGTTTATTGCAAGGCTTTATCACTGTTTTTAACTTTGTCATATGACACAAAATAATATTTTTTAAAAATCCTCTTATCATTGAAAGTTTCTTTTAAAAAGTACAAAAACTACTTAGAAAATCATCATGCATCATACTTCTTTTTTTTCCTCTTCAAAAGAAACTCAATATTATAAGGGGCTATCCACAAATTTTATTTTGTACTATTAATGAAGATGTGTTAAAAAAGACAATGGCATTGTCGCGGTCATCCCCATTAAAGTATCTTTTTTTTCGACTGTTCTTTTTCCTTATACAATAACATTTACGTGTATGAACGTTTATTGCAAGGCTTTATCACTGTTTTTTAACTTTGTCTTACGACACAAAATAATATTTTTTAAAAATCCTCTTATCATTGAAAGTTTTATTTGAAAAGTACAAAAACTACTTAGAAAATCATCATGCATCATACTTCTTTTTTTTCCTCTTCAAAAGAAACTCAATATTATAAGGGGCTATCCACAAATTTTATTTTGTACTATTAATGAAGATTTGTTAAAAAAGACAATGGCATTGTCGCGGTCATCCCCATTAAAGTATCTTTTTTTTCGACTGTTCATTTTCCTTATACAATAACATTTACGTGTATGAACGTTTATTGCAAGGCTTTATCACTGTTTTTTAACTTTGTCTTACGACACAAAATAATATTTTTTAAAAATCCTCTTATCATTGAAAGTTTTATTTGAAAAGTACAAAAACTACTTAGAAAATCATCATGCATCATACTTCTTTTTTTTCCTCTTCAAAAGAAACTCAATATTATAAGGGGCTATCCACAAATTTTATTTTGTACTATTAATGAAGATTTGTTAAAAAAGACAATGGCATTGTCGCGGTCATCCCCATTAAAGTATCTTTTTTTTCGCCTGTTCTTTTTCCTTTTACAATAATATTTCCGTGTATTACAATAATATTTCCGTGTAAACTACTTAGAAAATCACTTAAAACTTTTTTAAATTTTAAGATATTCAAATCGGACTTTTTTGATTGTTGGCAAATACGATTCTCTACGAAATTTAAAAAAAAATTCAAATGTTTCCCACGCATGTGCAGTAATAAAATAACTACTTTAAATACTTATATCTCGTTTATTTTTTAACCAATTTCTCTCGAATTTTGAAGCAATGATTTTTAAGCTAATTTTAAATTGCTCTAAACAATTTGTTTAATTTTGATGAATATTTTAAAAGTTATAGCCAAAAAAATTCACTTCAGAAAATTAAATTTTTTTTTATATAAAAATGTTCATATCTCCATACATTTAAGCTACGCGTATGAAATTTTGTGCAATTATCGCATATAATAAATAGTTACACATTACAAATTTATTGCTACTTTTTCGACATAGGGTATTGAAAAACTCTATTTTCTGTTTGAAATCTTTTGTCGGTCCCTCAAACCTCTAAAAACTTTAAACTTCATTGATAAGTACGAGAAATTGCACGATCTAAACACTTCTGAAGTTATAAAATGTTTCTTTTAGTATTTCTTGAAAAATATGAAAAAATTTGTTAGTATAGAAGTGCTTCCTGTTTTCTGACCTCCGCCATGCAGTGTTGCCAGACAGACTACACTGCACCGAATTATGTTAATGAAAATAGACTTATTATAAACATAAATTTAATGTAAAACAAATGAAAGATTTATTATTACAAGAAGATACTATATCACATTTTTATGTTTTCATCTTTCAAAAAATGACTAAAAAAAGAACATCGTATTTCTCTTCTTTACAACGTATTACTCGTATATTTTTTAACTTAGGTTTATTTTGTTAAGGCTACAGTGGACCTTTATATTGCCAAAAATTGATAAAAATTTCGGGTTTTTTTTTTGGACATATTTAGACACTTGTTTCATTGCTTTTTCAACTGAATTTTTTTTTTTTTAAATTTCGTCATTTTTTGAGAAGTTATAGGGTAGTTTCGTTTTCACATTATGAAGCCACGCCCCTTTTCTTACACAAAAAGCTGTTTTTCTCAAAATTGAAATTTTGTTATGTTTCACGTATTCAAAATGTTCCAGTCGACTTTGTTTTCATCCTATTGAGATGAAATTTTTTTCTAGTTATTTATATGTATATTAGATTAAGTTTATGCATTTGTTTCTGTTTTATAACAAGTAATAAAAGAGTTATCGGGTTTCATGTACCTAACGACCTTTATTTTGAAACAAAAATCTACATAAAATTTGTTTTTTGGTCATAAATTTAAAATAAATTTAGGAAAATTCCTATATAATGCATAAAGCTTTTAACATTTATCTCTAAAAAAAGAATATTAAAAAAAAATAAATAAAAATTTTAATTTAAGCCGCTGGGAGCATTTTAAAATTGATGAAATTTTTTTTAAAAAATTTTAAATTTCTCAAAAATGGTCCAAATATTTTTTACAAAAATTTTTGCAAGGGCATATCTTGATAGAATACATAAGTTATAAAAAAAGTTTTAGTGTAGCATAAAAACTAAAAAAAATTTTTTTGAACGTCCACTGTAGCCTTAAGGTGATTTTTTTTAAATTGAAGAAGAAGCTAAATCGAGTAAAAATTCCCTATTTGATAGTGATATATAAGAGAAACATTTCACTTCCCATGTCCATGCATTTTCTCATTTTCATTATTTAAGATGGTCCTTGATATTGATGGTCCTTGATGATGGTCCTTGATATTGATGGTCCTTGATATTGATGTTTATTCAAGCTTTTTTATTCTTGAAAAAGGAAATTTTTATTAAATATTTTAAGTTCAATTTTTCTGGTAGAAATATTTTAACAAGAAATGTTTTTATCTTATATTTAGAATACGTTACCTATTAGAATCAATGCTGTTCACGTAGTCAACGAATCAACCATATTTAGATATCTTTTCAACATTTTGAGGATGTTTCTTTCTAATAAAATCACAAAAAGGGTAAATATTTTGTTATTTGTTTCTGATCATCACTTTAAGTTAAAGGATTAAGTTTAAGTTAAAGGATTTTATCACTTTATACGGTGAATTGTATATTCCTTTAACTTAAAGTTAAAGGAATATTTAAAAATAACTTCTTTATGTTGTTCAAGTTATATTTACTTTCGTGGATATATCTAATTCTCTCTTAGGAACTAGAATTAAATTATTATTTTTAAATCACAAATATAATCTTAAATTGATTTTTTCTGGTAAGATAAACTTTCATTTCTTATTACTTTCAAATCATTTCCGAGAGTTTTTTTAACAGTAAATATTAATTTAACTTTGCACTTTTTCAAAAAAGTAATTGTTAATTTAGATTTACCGTAATGTATTTACGGAAACTTTGCGATGTTTTATGTACTACTTGTTTTAAATGTTTGAGAGTTATTTGCGACTAAAGAAAATTTTATTTAAGTTAATTTACTTTAAGTCGTGAAAATAGATTACATTTTACTGTTTCGTGATCATCGCCACTAATATGCTTTTTTCGAACCCTTGTTGAAACTGATGTAAAAAAGAATACACACAAATGCGTCAAACTATTACTTGTATAATTAAAGCAGAAAAACGCAATCCAAATCTGATGAATCGCAGTTAAAAAAGAGAAATAAAATTATTGAAACCTATTTGACAGCCAAATGAAACTTGTAGTCAAATAATTATCTCTCAATTTCTATTTTCCTGGGGTAAATTGATGGCATTCCCCTAAAATGATTTTTTAGATTTCGATAGCGTTTTTTTTTTCTCTTCGATTGATTCTTAATCATTAACCCCAAAAGTGAGTGTTATTTAGTATTACAATGACAGAAACACCAAGAAAGAGTTTTGCTAGATAAACTAAATTTGGTATGCTTGTTAATACAACTAAAAGATGATATCTATTCAAATTTAGTGCTTGGTGCATAAGTTTGGCACTGGCACCACTGTGAACATGCAAATTGGGATTGCTTTAAATACGTGCTATGCAGTTCGTAAGCGTTATTTTTCGATAAATTCTGACATAGTGAGTTGCTGTTAGTCAAGAATGTCTTTAAGTAGACGAAGAAGTCATTATCAACAGATCACTGACTTTGAATGTGGTCGTGTAATAGGGCTGCGAGAAGGTGGATTCTCATTCCGCAATATTGCTGAAAGACTAAGAAAAAATGTATCCACTGTGCATTTGATTTGATTTTATAACCGTTGTTTGACAACCGATCCAATTTTCAGTTTGCGACTAAAAATGTTCTACTCCGTATCATTGGAATTTTGAACCCAATCCTGAAGACAAGGTAACTGAGTCAAATATAGGGAGAAATTTTCCTTAGTGAAGCACTTTTTAGTGGAACTAATCCGCATTTGCGTTACATAGAGCGAAAAAAAGAAAACCTCCAACGGTTAGCCTGACGGCAAGGGGACTCTAACCCATGATCCGTCTACCAATGAGAATATTTCACGTCAGCACTGTGGTCAGTGCGAGTCAGATATGGAATTGCCGAGATCCGAACCTGGTTTATCTCATTGAGAGGCGAGTGCTCCATCCCCTGAGCCACCACGGCTCCACTGTGCATGATTGTTGGCAGCAGCTGTCAAGAGTAGCTAGTGCTCCAAGAAGACCGGGTTCTGGGTGGCCACGGGGCACTACTCAGAGGAAAAATTCTGTGGAGCACCGTACTGCGTCTGCATCAGAAATCCGAGTTTTAGTTGGCACTGCAGTAACACAACTAATTCTTACAAATTGGCTACTTCAACTACAGCTCCCAGCAAGACGCCCTGTAGCTTGTATTCCATTCACTCCAAGCCACTGCCGTTTACAGCGTGAGTGATGTCGAGTCAGATCTACCTGCAGGATAGTGTTGAGATCTATTGTGTTTTCTTATGAAAGTTGGCCCTGCCTTGGTGCCAGTGGTGGCCGTATATAGGTTAGAAGGAGGCCATATGAGCGTCTGCTACCGACCTGTCTCCAACTTAGACACAGTGGACCTACACCTGGAGTTATGGTCTGGGAAACATTTTCTTATGGCAGCTGAAGCTCTCTCGTGGTTATTCCACGCAATTTGACTGCAAATTTATGCGTCAACCTGATAATTAAACCTGTTTTGTTGCCATTGATGAGAAGCATTCAAGGGTGTATTTTCTAACAGGATAATGCTCGCACTCATAATGCTGTTATAACCCAACATGCTCTATAGAATGTCGACATGCTGCCTTGACTTGCTAGATCACCAGATCTTTCACCAATCGAACACGTATGGGGGAAACATTGAACGAAAACTTCAGCGTCATCCACAACCAGCATTAATTATCCCCGTATTGACAGACCAAGTGCAACAGTCATGGAACTTTATCTCACAAGATAACATCTGTATGACAAAATGCATGCCCGATTGCATGTTTGCATTCAAAATTCAGGTGGCTACACCGGTTATTAATGTACCAGTATTTTACATTTGAAATGCTCTTTTTTCTTAATTGCATTTGCCTGTGATTTCGCAACTTTATGTTACGCAGACAAACGCATTTTGAAATTTTATTTCTCTGCCATAATTTCTTTTGGTGTTGGGATTTATTTTCCATCAGTGTATTTTCGACCTGGATTCTAAAAACTAGCGTTGATTACCGAACAACCCATGTATAATGCTTTGTTTATTTAGTTCCACTTCCATGGCAGTGATATGGAGCATCTGCATAAGTACATACCAAAGGAGTGTTTGCCTCCTGATTACGGTGGTGATAATATCAGCTATTCTGCAAGTGATTTTTGTAAAAAGGAAATGCTACCATTTCTGGAAAGATACAGCGAAATGTTTTACAAAAGTTAATATTGTTATCAGAATTTCTTTAAATTATTAAAAATTATGCAATTTTTTATATTATAAGTATTTTTAAGATTACTTTTGTTATAGATATATGACCGAATTAGATAATAAAATGATATTTTAGCATTGTCTCTGATACTTGTTTTTTACAAAATTTCAGTTTGATAAACTGTAGAATAGTTTGTTTGCCTGTTATTTATGTTTAGTGTTTAATTTTCCTTTTTTTCCCCTTTTATCTGCAAAAACTTGCAAATACAGTCTACAGTGAAAGTAATTATGATAAAGTCACATAATAGAAACCATTAAAATTTTTACTGTCAAAAATTTATTGACAAACTGTTAACTCCAATCACAAAACATACTGTCAACTTAAAAAAAAAGCACATCCAACTGTTTAGCTCTGAAGAGTAAGGATAAAATATCATACCTTCTTTCTTATCTGCTTAAATAGATAATGAGTTACGTACTAAAAACACAGAGCGAAATAACTATATATTTATTTTCACACATCACATCACGAAGAAAATCTAAAGAAGTTGTGATCCAGAGTTTCAATAATAGCATAATAATATAATTAGTTCTATAATCTGGCAAATATTGGCCCCCGCTTCACCTTGTTTCCGCACACTTTTAACTTGACGATCGTGGTCAGAAGCAAGTTTTCTCAACTGTTTATACCTGCCATATAAAATTGAGCATCAGTCGTATGTTCAGAAATGAAAATTATCACATTTTGACAACTTCTGCAACCGTCATTAGCTCACCGCACCATTATTTTCCCTCACCAAACGAACAAAACACAGCTTATATGTTATCTATAATATTACATTTTCTTTTTAGACATATTCAACATAACAATCAAATGCATTAATACACTTCGTGCTAATGGTGTTCCTTTTTTTTATTAGTGAAAATGTGCAGGACCAGACACTCAACCGTCACGAAAATATTTCGTAAATTTTCTACCCAATTCAGAGATGCCAACTTGCTCCGGAGTCTGGATAAATATTTTCCTGTGGTACTCTTTATTTTAACCCCTTAACGATCGGTTAATTTTTAAAAAAACTGTCATAAAAGTACCTATTTTTTTGGCTTTTGTATCTGTATTAGCGTATTTGATTAGTGCTGCAACTAGTTTAAAATAAACTAACTATCTACAATTGCATTAAAAATATCCTGGTACTGCCATCAGGTGTGTAAAATGAGAAATAAAATGTTTTCCGGGCAAAAGAAATGAAATAATTTTATTCTTATTTGACGTTACTACTGAACATCCCACCCCGTCATTTTCACGAGAGCGAAAAGGAAGGAGTTAATGTAAGATTCTTAGTTTAGTAAACTCTATTTATGGGATTTTTACTCACCCCTATTTCTAAATAATTCAAAAACTTATGCGAAACTCCTCTTTTTTACAGTCACTGATGGCTCCCCCTCAAAATTCTCGGTATCTATTACACTGCAAACATTTTTTTCCTCTGCCATTTTCAATACCTAAAAAGTTGTTTACAAAAAATTAATGCACTTCGCTGTATCTCTAGCACGCAATGAGGGTCCCGAACTTATCTCCTCATTCCGATTTCAAATGTGTTATAATCAGAAGTACGTTAGAGTATGGCAGCACAATCCTCTTCTCTGCACCAAAATCACAGTAATCACTCCGAGTAGTTAAAACAATCTATAACTCTAGCCTCCAAGCAGCAACGGGCTTCCCATGTTGGACTCCAATTCCTATTCTCCACAAAGAAACTGGCACTACCTCAATATTGCACAGACTCTTCTTAGCAGCAAAAAATTCTTCCTCCACCACTTTTCCCTTGGTTCTCACTCCGCAATGAATTGCCTTTTGTGTGAATTCCAGTTTACCATACTTAAAAAAAAAAAAAAAAAAAAAAAAACAATTTTCTCAAGTTTCATGACATCAAAACGGTATAAGTAAATACGGTTTTTCTTACAGATCTTACAAACATTTTTTCTCTATGCACATGATCTTCCATATCAAACAACAAAAAATCCCAACGAAATCCTCCTCTTCCATTAGGAATTCCTCCACACTCTTTGGAAAAATTTTACCATTCCGGTGACCGATGCTTCGAAATCCGATTAGAACATAGCTATTAATCCATGGAGCAATATGTGTTATATTTCTTAAATCTATCCCACTTACTACTTAGTTTTCACCGGATAAGTTTTAGCTATTTGGTTAGCAATTACAAAATTCAGTATCGAGTATCTCGATTACGTTATTTGTTTCGGACAGTAAATCCGCAATCACAACCTTGATCTCGGCTACCCATACATTCCCTCATAGCATCCTCTTCTTACAAAAAGAAGTTCATTTGAGCAAGTGCAACCATGAAATCTCTAACGATTGCTTGGATACCAGCAAACGTTGGCATCCTCCTCCCAACGAAACCGTAGATAGACTGGCTAAACAAGCCACTAATGCACCTCTAGCCGTTCCCCCTATCACGCCCGAAAACTTGTCATATTCATCATGTTTAGCGAACTCAACTATTCATCGCAAACTCAATAACCTCTGGATCAACTTGAAGTACCACAAACGCTTCTCCTTTGGTCACCCAGTTCATAAAATTTCTCTCAATCAACTCCCAAACTGAAAATACGACATTTTAATCTCGCGTCTCCGAAGTAACACAATTCAATTAAATGCAATTTGGAACAAGATCGGATCTTTGTGTGATCATTGTCAGTCCCCAGAATCTATAAACCACCTCCTCTTTGAGTGCAAAAGGTTCGATCTTCAGAGACAAGCACTGCGCGCCTGAATCGGGGTGTTCCCACTTTCCTATCACCGTCTACTTAACTATGACCAACACGAAAAACTTTTAAAAAACTTTCCCAGCCCTTTATATTGTATTTTTTTGTTTCATTGTATAATATTTTCATTAAAGCTAACTTTTGAAACTAGTCCGGTTATTTAATTTTTACAAACTTTATAGGGTAAACTAACCAGTGAAGGAACACTTAAGCTTCTCTTGCCTTTTAAAAAGTCATATTAATTTCAAAATTCAGAATTTTAGTTAAATGACAGTGTCAACATATTTGTTACTAATTGCAAATTATGTAAAAAAATTGTAGAGAACTTACATAATATTGTTTAAAAGTTTTGGAGGTTCAAATAACAAGTAGTAAGAAGACCAAGTGAAGGAACAGCTCTTACCAGTGAATGAACACCCAGTAAAGGAACACTTAATTTTGGTTATTTTTTAATGCTCTTTATGAATTTATAAGCCATACAAATATTTAAAAACAAGCCTATTCTTGAAATTATAACATATAAATACTTGGAAAATGTTAACTTTTTTTTGTAATCATGAATTGAAAATTAAAGTGTCAACATATTAACACATACTGTTCATTCACTGGGAAATCTATGCCCAGTAAAGGAACATGCCTGTTCCCTCACTGGTTAGAAGTTGTTTTTCGTATTTTTAACATACTTTTGATGCGGAACATCACTAAAGGTACAAGAAAATTAAAGTTTATCTTTTATTTTCATTAACTTAGAAAAAAACCCAGTAAAGGAACACTTGTTCCTTCACTGGTTTTTCATCGTTTGGTGATCCAGTGAATAAACACCCCCTTATCTCAGTACTTGATTATGCTATGGTGCTTTAAAAAAAATAAAACGTAACTTCAATAACTATATTTTGAATTCTCTTTTTCACAGTGAGAAAAATAAAACTATTACATGCAATTAATTCCACTTCAAACATATAAATACAAACACTCACCTTATAATTTTTTCAAAGAAACAAGGTGTTGCAGAGATAATAACAAATTCAAAAATTTTTCCAGAGAAGTCTATTTGACCAGGTAATCCAAAACATTGCTAGATGACTTCCTATTGTTTGGCAGTAAGCTATTGTTACCAATCAATCTAAAGAAAAACTTTCAAATTCTTATTTTTAATCAATATATATGAAATGTTCCTTCACTGGGTAGTGTTCCTTCACTGGTTGGTTTACCCTATATATATATATATATAGGGTAAACTAACCAGTGAAGGAACACTTAAGCTTCGCTTGCCTTTTAAAAAATCATATTAATTTCAAAATTCGTAATTTTAGTTAAATGACAGTGTCAACATATTTGTTACTAATTGCAAATTATGTAAAAAAATTGTAGAGAACTTACATAATATTGTTTTAAAGTTTTGGAGGTTCAAATAACAAGTAGTAAGAAGACCAAGTGAAGGAACAGCTCTTACCAGTGAATGAACACCCAGTAAAGGAACACTTAATTTTGGTTATTTTTTAATGCTCTTTATGAATTTATAAGCCATACAAATATTTAAAAACAAGCCTATTCTTGAAATTATAACATATAAATACTTGGAAAATGTAAGCTTTTTTTTTGTAATCATGAATTGAAAATTAAAGTGTTAACATATTAACACATTCTGCTCATTCACTGGAAAATCTATGCCCAGTTAAGGAACATGCCTGTTCCCTCACTGGTTCGAAGTTCTTTTTTCGCATTTTTAACATACTTTTGATGCGGAACATCACTAAAGGTACAAGAAAATTAAAATTTATCTTTTATTTTCATAAACACAGAAAAAAAACCTGTAAAGGAACACTTGTTCCTTCACTGGTTTTTCATCGTTTGGTGATCCAGTGAATAAACACCCCCATATCTCAGTACTTTATTATGCTATGATGTTTTAAAAAAAATAAAACGTAACTTCAATAACTATATTTTGAATTATCTTCTTCACAGTGAGAAAAATAAAACTATTACATGCAATTAATTCCACTTCAAACATATAAATACAAACACACACTTTATAATTTTTTCACAGAAACAAGGTGTTGCAGTGATAACAAATTCAAAAATTTTTCCAGAGAAGTCTGTTTGACCAGGTAATCCAAAACATTGCTAGATGACTTCCTATTGTTTGGCAGTAAGCTATTGTTACCAATCAATCTAAAGAAAAACTTTCAAATTCTTATTTTTAATCAAGATATATGAAATGTTCCTTCACTGGGTAGTGTTTCCTCAATGCTTGGTTTACCCGAAAGCTTGGTTTAAGCGAAGTGTAAAGCATGTAATTAAAAAATTCATTTTCAAAAATAATTTGATTCAAAAAATAAATTATAATAAGTGT